AAATAATTATTAAAATTGTCAAGGCAAAACTCTACAATGCTGACTTGCACTACTGTTTTCCATGGAAAACAGTATTATACTTCCTTATTTCAAAAAACAAATGTTTAGAGAGGGTAATAACTGAGAGTTTATATAAAGATAATATTGACCATAAGAGACTACAATACCTGTCCAGAATGAGTATCAGCTATATGACCAACTAACTGTAACTGTGATATATCTATACCAGCGTGACGAGACAACAATGCATCACCTGTAGAAGACACGAATCAAGACAAAAGAGAATGAAATCTTGTTAATCGTCTTAGATTTGCTTTTCTAATTTTATAACAAAAATATTTAAATAATATCATAAGATGAAATATGGAAGACATTTGAAGACTGTTTCAGATAATGCTTGTACCATGAATTTAAGAAATACACAATGTAATATTAAAGTGGAACTTACGACTTCTGGTTTTATATCCTAACCAACTTCTATCCTTAAATGGTATTTTACTGATATCTTGTCCTAGCTGTACGGCTCTATCTGAAATTGATGACATCATACTTATCATAACTTGGTCACAGCTTCACTCTATATAATCTTATGGGACATCAGATACTTGCTGCAGTTATTGACCACTTGTAAATTGTTTAGTTTGAACAATCCCAATATTGAAAGTGTTTAACCCTTGCAATGCAATCAACCATCTTGCAAGTGGTTGAGATTTCCTGCTCATGCAAAACAAACATATTGCTCTAAAGTAAGGTAAACTTTGTGTGACTTGAAATGCATTCAGCAGTCAGCAAAATCTTTAGAGTCGCAAATCATAGCTGATTTACCAAAATTCTTCTCATCTGGATCAATGAATTACTATGATGTACATACCTTTTAACATTTGAGCTTGAAATGATTTAGCTTTGTCTAATGGAACTTCATCATTCTTATTAGATACACTGACTAATGCTCCATTATTGACTAGATCCTGAAGTAAACAAATAACAAACAACTATAATCTACAAACAATTTGAAACTATCACAGTTGATTACAAAAAAAAAGAATGCTCATTTAAAAAAGCAACTGCTTGTAAAAGAATAGCAGTAACTCTGTACCATCTCAAAAATGAAAAGATACTGACCTCTGCTATTTGATCATAGCCCCAGAAACAGGCATAATGTAATGGTGTATTACCATGTTCATTGATAGCATTCACATTGGCTTTATTGTGTAATAACTGAAAAATAACAGAGTTGTATTCAAAATAATCAAACAAGAATTTCTCAATGTAATTAACAGAAACAATTTCCCAAGATAAGAAATAAAAACATGGAATTCATAAAACAAGATTCTGTCTGCCAATAAAAATAACTTGCTCAGTAAAAAACTCAAAATACAATGACTAAATGCAAGTCGTTCAAGAAAAAGGATGTACATCAAAGAGACTATGTCAGTACTGGATAGTCAACAACTGAAAGGCTCACCATTAAAACAACATCTCTGTGGCCATGAGCTGCTGCTAAATGTAGTGGAGTATCATCACCCATATTGGTGGCATTAATTCTAGCTCCTCTCTGTATTAACATATCTACTATGTTAGCTCTACCCTCTCGGGCAGCCCAATGTAATAAACTAAATCTATGATCATCTCTGAAAAAGCAAAACCAATCATTCAACGAATTTGGACTTAAATTAAGCAATCACAGACATGCTTAGTTGCAACAGGACCAGATGAAGAAATCAAGCCCCATCAGCTGTAACACACTATCAATACAACTTTATCCCTTTATAAACGAAGTACTGAAGGTCTTGAAATTATTATACAAGTTAACATGTATCGTGGGTGACTGCTTGAAACCTTGCATAACGATATATGACGTGAAATTTCTTTTCAAGAAAAACAGAAAAAAACTGTTTGTACACGTATTTTTTTAAAATCTTTTTTTTTTATTCTTTAACCGCTATGAGGTTTTCATTCTTTGAAAATATAAACCTTGTATAACAATTTGCATTCTCCGGCCCATTGAACCAAAAACTTGTATAATAATACAATATACGATGTTTTTAATTTCATCCGCAGAAAAAAGAACATTGAACCTCGTATAATAACATATTTTACGAGGTTTCAAATCTGACTGTTTATATACGTGTTATTTAATTAGTGCTTTTTGAGTTATTTACAATCAAGCTAAGAATACGAGGCTTTGATCACAAGATCCGCTTTCGAGCTTTCGAACGATACCAAAAAGTCAAAATTACTAAATATGGCATATACGAGGTTTCAAGCGGTCACACATGATATTATGTATGTATAGTACATGATATACTTTGTTACTTTCAATATTCTATTCTTTGTTCTGATTTTAGTTATTTAAGATGGGAGATAATGTGAACATTTTCTTAGACCTGTATCATTTATTGCCATCTTTCAGGAAGAACCATTTACATACATTTGTTTTGAGAAAAGCCCTAGGTTAAGTCTAATTAATCAAGTATGTCAGAAGTATGGAAGATCACTTTAGTATCTACTTTAACATTTATATAGACAAACAAATTAAATAAATAGGTCATTAGTATTTCTAACTAGTATAATTATAGGACAAGTTTAGATTAAAACATTTGGCAAAGAAATTTACTTTGAACATGGATGCGCAAATGAATTGTTCTCTGATGACTGTGTTGTAGAATTATATTGGGTCTGGGTCCAATATGAAAATAATTCATGCAAATGCATGTTGTCTACCAAGTAGACTACTGCGATCTTACATTTAGAAGGGTAAACATGAAAATGACTATTTGAACTTAAGATTTAGGCTTTAAAATATCAGATTTGGAAAGAATATTTTCTTTCATAAATATATTCCACTTATTTTTCAACCCACAAGTAATCGCAACCTTGCATTTAGCCTTAATGGAATTGATATTTGAATTCGTGTCAAATGAATGGCAAAAAGCGTGTTAGAAATCTAAATGGCCACAGACTTGTACATCTATTACTTGAGTGTTACTGAGTGTGATGATTCATACCTAGAATCTACTATGAAGTGTTGAAGGCAATCCTACACTACAGATATCAAGTATAACAGATGGCCAAATGATATCTAAAGCTATAATTATCAACATATATAAATATTTTCTTGAATGACATCTAAATCATATATTTCAAATTTTATTTTTCTTATTTATAAAAATCAAAAACTCTGGTAAGCTTTATGACTTATAGCCAAAATTACAGGTACTTATTTATAATAATGTACATTTCAGTTACAAATTGATACATTTGATTCATTCATTCTTCTCAATGAGTATGAAAAATATATATAAAGGGTTGTGTCACTTTTGGTTTGAAAAAAATAATTCTGTGTCAAAAGAATTTGTCCAGGAAAATATCCATCATATCTCAGTTTATCATGAAATTCCTTTTATGGGATGAGCCAGTAATTTCAGTGTTTATTTTCAGCTTCAAGATTATTTTCTATTTTCCAGACTGAAATCCTTCATAAATTGGCAATGGAAAGAGGGCTGGACATTCAAGTATTGTGATAACAGTAAAATATCAGGTCAGGGGGTCATCTCAAAATATCAATAATGACCAGCTAGAAAACCCCTTGTAAATGATGCTTGTGCATTGATTGATACACCTATGAAAAAACTAAAAGAACTGCAACGAAAATTATCAGAAAAACAAAGGGAATTAATAATGGGGAAAATAACATAGATAATTCATACCCCTGATTCAGGTCGTTTTCTGTGTTGTCCAACCAAACTCGAACATGGAAGGCATTTCCTTCCTTAACCTGGGTAAATATATCATCCATGGTAACTTCTTTTAAATTTTAAGATGCAATATTTCAGAATATAATGGTTGAATTTATCTCATTTTTTGTATAACAGTCCATAAAAACGTCTGGTAAAAAAACACTAACAAAATTTGATGCTTATATTCTTTTAATTATCTCCCTTTAATTCGGAATGAAATTGCCCACTTCCAACACTTTAACACATCCAATATGATAAATCTTACACGTTATCACACCAATTCCAATTCTCTCCACGATATTACAACTTCTTCTAATAATTTATACTATAGTATGCTACGAAAATCATTAAAATAAATAGTAATTGTCCCAAATCACCACAGCCAGATTTATTAGAAAGTCACGTGACCTAAACATAAATACTGTTTTTACGGACTGAAAGATGATTTGCAAACGGACTGAGAACATTACATTAAGGTTATCCATTTGAGAGCACAAATTTCTTTTTGTCCATGTGCAGTGCAAAACCTTCTTTTAAACTAAACAGTCCGAAATGGATAACCATGCTATTGAACAAAAATCTTCGTTGTATTATGTAATACCCATAGAGTTATACATTTATGGGAAATATCTTATACTGCAGTGAGAATTTTGGTTCTCGGTATAAGGGAGATAACCACATTTTCCCATCCCCTTTATTCCATTGTTGTACGTGCATCAAGCAAGAACTGCTTCCATTGTAAATAAGACAATTTAATGGATGGATACTTGTAGAATATTTTCATCGTTTCGATGTGGTTCTCAACACGTACGTCACCAGGAATATAATGATTATTACTAACAACATTATTATTCCCGATGACGATGTGATAACTACCTTGCAACGTTGAAGATAATAAATATTCTAGAAGAATCCATCCATAAAATTGTCTTATTTATCTATAAGTTGTGCTTCTAATGAGTAAGGTCTCCGTGGCTAATATGCCATTGAAGGATTATTGTCATGATATTGTCGTGGCACAAGCTTTTAAGAAAAAATGTAGAAAATGACTTCAGCGCATTCCTAATCATTAATAAAGTTATAAATCACATAATTCGCGTTTCTTTGATCCTGGATTATCAGATTAAATAGAAGTCGATTAAGTAAATCCACGGCCTAATGTCAAAATAAACTGAGACTTTAAGAAGGTAGGGTGAACAAACTGATTTTCATTTTGTAATTTTCCTGATATCGGACTATGATTTATCTCCATGACGTGAAATGAAATTTACATTCATTCTATTCATACTCGGAGTTCATAATTCATCCGGTAAGTTGTAAAAACTCCTTTGTTTATATTTGCTTCCATTTCGTCTTTTAAATGAAATCTTTTACATAAGGTTATGCACCATAATCTCATTAATTTTGTGGTGGTCATCATATCTTATTTTGTCTGTTCATATTGATTCTAGGACACATGTCTGAAGGCGTAATCGCCATCTCATATGGATTGTTGATTTTCAGTTCCATTAAAACTAAAAACATTCCATGTCCAAATATCTACGCTTTGTAGACTTTATTTGTTTATTTGTTTGTTTACAGGTGAACTGGAATGTGGTAATTTTGTTCCAGTATCAGTTACCGGAAATAAACAAAATTTAACTTCAGTTTATTACCCTTTTGACTACCCCAGGTAAGATAACAGCATTTTGTTACCGACATTGTCAAATATCAGTTTTACCGGCTGTCAGAAAAGAATTTCAGCTACATAAAAGAAAATACAACTCCCGATGCGTTTACAATCCAAAACCGATAAATCTATGCAAGAGTCTTATCTTTGCATGTGACCAAGTTTGGGCCAATCTTTGATCCCTATTTTCAGATCGTATATACATGATTATAATAGGTGTTGTTTGGAGTAGAATAGAAAAACAGTAAAGCATGTATGTTCACCAAATATCACGGAATCGCGTAAACAAAACTCGCGAAATGTTGTCCAAGACAATTCCATTTTAGCAAAGTGTTCTATAAAGTTTGTTGCCAAGGTGAAAACCAGTGCATGATTCCTTGTCAGCCAAAACATGCAGATAGGCTAGTAATAATTAACATTTGAATTTGAATTTCAGGCCTTTATCCTGTTCGTGGATATTGACATCTCGAAATCCCAACTCCCGTCTGAATTTTCAAATTATCAGTTTTAACTTGACTAGATCACCATTTTGTAGTGCTGATTACTTTAAAATCAAAGACGGTAAGTTTCTATTATACTTTTTATCAATTTGTAGAATTGTTTGGATTCTGATCACAATTTTCTTTTTCAGATACATATGTATAATTGATCAAATACCAGCAATATACATCACCCATTCTTTTGTACAAAATTATTTCGTTAAAATCAACGACTTCATGGCAATCGTAAAGATAAGCTATAAGGTCCGCCACGAAGTCGTAAACATTAGCTATAAGGTGCCGCCAGTTGGTAGATGGTGCTGAATTTGTCAATGCTGGTTTTGATGTTTCAGGTCCTTCAATAATATCACCTACGATATTCAATTGGTGCGGACAAAAGCCACCAGGTACCAGATTCCGGACCATTGGAAACAAGGCTTTGATATTTTTCTCAACATTGGATACTGGTAAACCAGCAAGTGGATTTTATATGCAGTTTTGGGCAGAAAACAAGGGTAAGGGGAGAAAACAAACAACAAAATCGACTGATGAAAAGATGTAAATACATGCATTCTTGTGAGTGATTCTTGGAAGATGTTTTAATCTTTGAATCTTGGTATTGGCTGGCCGTCTCCAGAAGATGGAATTGAACGTATTACTTAATTGTTTTCAATTCAACAATTTGATTTAAGTTCACTTTCTTTAATTTCAGAGGTAATAATAGAAAGAGATCCAGTGTTTACCACAGTGCATTATATTCTAGCTGGTGTGTTCGCCGTATTTGTGGGATTTTTTGTGGTATCATTGGCTTATCTAACTTTGTTATCAAGACTAAATCTTCACAAGAAAAATAAAGTCTCACATTCGCCTTCTTGATAATAAAGTGATGCTTTCAAATTTTAAAATCTGTTCGTTTTTTACAATTAATATTGTCAGTGCTGATTCAGAAGGGTATGTAATCAAAGTTCTACACATTAAGGAAAATTATGGTTCTGAGATTAATGGAAATGAAAATTAGAAAATGAAATATCTCACTTTAAATTTCGAATTGTTTGAAACCGGGACATTAAAATGTACTACTGATGACTTTCTTGCACCAGAAGTGTCGTAAACGTACAATGTTGTACAGTGATTATGTCCCCTTATTATAGAAATATTATTAGTAGTCTATAGTATAAAAAAAATGCAGCAAAAACTGCAGTTACCTCCCTTAGATCACTAAGCTTGCAATACATAACCATAGTACAAGGTGAAATCCGTTTCAATGGGATAGTATGCTCAGTGACGTTCATAAAAATCATTAGTGGAGGCGTGGGGATCACAGAATTATCAAAGATTATCAAAGGCTGTGTCAAAGTCCAGTTAAGACATCCTATAAGTCTACTTAATAATTGTAACTGGACAAAACAATTTAAACAAAGCTGTTTAATCAATGAGTTTTAGTACTCTCTTACATTGTTAATGCTTCAAGTACAGAATTAAATTCTGTTGAGCTCTATCGGGTACACTAGCACTTATTAAGAAGACTGTATCGCTTTAAGGGACTGGGAAACTTTGTTAAGAAAGTAAAGACAGGGTTTATTTTATTCATTTTATTTTTATGATTTTTTATCATTTACAATATACAAAATTACTTTTAGTTTTTTCATACATATACAAACTCAAGTATATTCACAAATCAGCTTTACAAAGAAGGTCACAAATTTACAACATTTTCTTTGATCTTTTTTGTGTAATTAAATATGCATAAATTATACAAATAAGATTATTTTTTTAACTTAAAAAATTTCAATTAGCTTGAACACTGAATGGATAGAAAATGCAGCAATTGAAATGAAATATAAACATGGGTATATACAATGCAACACAGTACATCCTTACACATGACAGTGGGGGGGGGGGGGGGGGATTCACACATACACTGAATCAAATATACATTCACACAGCACATACATATAGTCATATAGCACATGGAAAATTTGTCGGCACGTGAAATTATGATACTTTTTTGAGAGGTTGATAATTTCATTTATATTGGTTTCTGAGAAGTGATTTTATTTTACAATTTTGGTCGATTTTGCAATGGCATTTTTCTGAGTTGAATAATTCAGAGTAAGAACAATAATAGAAAAGAAGAAATAACTAAAGTTTGGCAAAAAAGCTACTCCAACCTTACAATATACAACATAATTTATTCAATAGTAGCTTGCTGCAATGTTTTGCATAATGTTGTCAGCAGTCTTAACATCATTGAGCATAAAATAAAAAAGTTGTTTCGTTCAAAAGTCACTAGAGCCAAATAATGACTAGTTGGCACAGCAATACACTATACAATTTTAATTGATGACATAAATTAAGTAGAATGAAAACATATTTCAAAGAAAGTATTTATTTCATTTTCTTGTAGCCCACAAGTAAATGTTCATTAATGAAATTGGTGATATCTAAATAAATTTTTGGGCACAAATGATTTTTTGGCATAGCAATATAAAATATTTTCTCACATCCCCACAACTCATCACACATATTCTTCATGGTCCGTTGTTATTCCCCCTTCTAATGGCTGAGTTTCACTATCTGGCAATAGTGCAATGTCCTTAAAAACTCCCACCAACTTATCAAAATTAGGCCCCCAATTTAATAAAGAGTCCATATTAAAGGCTCCATGTGGACCTTTTTGTGGTAAAAAGTGTTCTTCTGATGACATAATTGTACTAGTAAAAGAATCACAGTTAGAGTGCATACCATCCGAATTACTACGGATTGGTACTGGAATGTCATCATTTTCATTCTCCACTTCTGTCAATTTGGAAAAAATCATAGTGTCTGGATCAAAGTCATTTTTTCGATGATCATTTTCGAATTCAAATTCAGAACACGTGAAAGAGTCATTAGCACCACTATCACTTGAGCTGGAATCTGGAGGCTCGAGAAGAATAGTACCATCAATATGTTCCACAGGTTTCATTTTACGCTTACGTTTTAATTCATCACTTGAGGAAGACACTGCTTCTAACATGCTAGCTGGACTTGGTGGTCCAGGCCTAGCATTCAGTCTATTGATTTCTTCCACAGTTAATCCTTTCACATGCTTTGGTTTCCCATTACGCATAGGTTTACTTAAATTGTTTCTTGGCACTGAAGAGTTTGTACTGTGACTATGATGACTCCCTAATGAACTACGACTACTATTGTGTTGGCTTGCTGGATTTTGACGAATATTTAACTGTGTAATTGGACTATTTCTATGATGAGTTCCATGCATATAAACTGCTTGAGCAGATGCTGGACGATTGATGCCATTGGTGTTTAAATGTGGATTTGGTCTTGATGGCATGGATAGAGCTGATCCAGAGAGTGATACAGGGCTCTGACGAGTATGAGCATTGTTATGAAATTTATGTACATTTGGACTGTCTCTAGACATAGCCGATGGAGATCTGAGATTCAGCGGACTCTCACGAGATCTATGATGTGTTTTATTGAAATTAGGTTTGTAACGAGTATCACCATTACGATATTGTTTATAATGCTGGATGACATCTATATCTGACGGAGCAATGCTACTTGCATTTTCCAAATCATAATGTTCTGGCATTTCATCATCTTGAACATTGATGTGTTCTAATTCACCATTTTCAATTATCACTGTTCCATCCTCAAACATTTGTGGTCTGGATCCTGGTCGACCCACAAAATTTGAACCAATCAAATCTGGCCTTGAAGATAGAGCAGAGTTCTTTTGATATGTTACATCTTCCGTTAATTGATTTTGTAATAAGTCCTCATTTCTAGTTCCATATATGGGCATTCCACGAAGTGTTGAATCAGCATTATCACGAGCCATCACACCGTTTGATTTTGTCACCTTTTTATCACCACCTTTACAAGGGAACAAGCTTCGTTTTCGTCTGAACAAGATGAACACTATCAAAATCACAATGATAAGGATAATAAAGAACACAATTACAACTACAATTCCAATATCTAAACCTCCAGAAGGTTTGGCAATTTGTTTACAGACAAAAGCTTCTCCAGAGACTATGCAAGTATTTCCATCACCACATGGATTATTTAGGCATAACGCTTTACACCCCGATTCCACACTACCATTGACTGTAATGGAATATTTCTCAGTTTTACCATCAAATGGAAGTTTCTTGTTATCAATTCTGAATTCTGAGATACATCCATCGAAACCTGCAAAAAGCAAATAAGATACATAAATAATGTGATGAGGATTATAGGGGTTCAGTGCTCAACATATCAAATCTCAAGATGCACAATTATTATAAAGTGGAAGGCATGATGACAATAGATAAAAAAGTAAAAGTCCTATAAAACACTTCTAAAATACAATGGCAAAAAAACTAATGTAAAAGCATGTGCAAATTGAACATTATTATCTGTGACTTACTTAATCTATTCACATGCATGTGCAATATAGCATCTAACAGCAAATCTTTATAATTTATGGAATATTCAGAACTTGTGAGGTAAATACCAAGTAGATTTGGTTTTATTTGTTCCAATAAGAATTTTTCCTGGTCTTGTTTTTGATTGTAATTAACGTCAGATATGCATTAACGACTTTGTCATGATACTTGATGATAACTGACTTTAAACCAAATGTTACAATGAATATTTGAAAGATAAAGCCAAATACTTTTAATTCTAGGTTCATTCTAAGAAAATAACCACAACATGCAAAGAGCCACACACAACAAGAAACAATAAAGATACAAATACCTAGTATCACCACGATTGATAAAACAAAGGAAATGCTAGAACACATAGAACTAAGGTAGGACATATTAGTAAAGGCAAATGGAATGGTTTAGGGATAAGGTAAAGGTATAAAGCAAAGCAGTACTGGTAAAAGTACATTGCATGGCTGATTAAATTTTTAACATTTTGAGAAACTAATCAAAGTATAACTTTGGCTATTTTCGGTATCCATAGAATTGTGAGCTTGGATTTGGAAAAACCTTTATTTTTTTATGACACCATCCATAAAGTAGGCTTACTGACACCAAATTACTTCAAAAGGTAGATCGAAGCAGAATTGAGGGTTAGCAAGATGTTAAGATGTATACATCTGGAAAAACAAGTCTACTCATAACCTACCCATGATGCTCTGTCCAGAAGGAGGAACAATTCTCTGTCCACTCAGCACCATTTCTTTGACATCCAGAGATGAAAAGATGTAACCAGCTCCAAAATCTTTAGGTTGTGATCGTTGACCATCCACAGTGATTGCAAAAACACTTCCAAGGGAGGTAATAGTGATATTATGCCAGTCACCGTCAGCGATTGGGAACTCCATATTTAGGGGATCATTGACTGCTTTTGGTGGGGTCAGTACAAATCTGATCTTTCCATCTTCAAGCTGAAAGAAAAATAAAATACATAAATTTCATATGTATAAATGATAAGACATGCCTGTATAACCATTTGAACAATCTACAAAAGAATATTTAAATATAATGAAATACATGAAACTGAATGTTTGATAAATGTTGATGCCCTTTCAATATATTGTCTAGTTGTCTTCTGTTATAAATCTCCAGAATACATAAGGAATATGAAAAATCTGATCATTTCTTACCCAAAGTACACAGTTGGTATCCACTGTAGAAGAATAAAACAAGGCACCAGTTTCCTCCAGAGTTCTAAATCGGATATAAACTTCTGAACTATCCACTGCTCTTTTCTTGCGGTTTGATGGGGTTTTGAGTTGTTGATCTCTCAAGTAACTCTCACGGAGTTTGAAGGTGACCTTGGCATTGGGAGCAAAACCTGATGGTTGCCAAGCTATAAAGAAATAATTTATGTGTCTGAATTCTTTTTAAAATATTGGCATAACAATACTGATTAATGCTTTACCTTACTAAAATCTACAATCTCCATAAACTAAGAATATTGAAAATCATACATTTTACAGACATTGCCAAGTACACGAGTTTCCTACAAGGTCATTAGGCAAAGAGGCATTTAACTTTAGTTTAACGGGTAACAAAATACAACGTTTTTTCATCTAATCACTGCTTAAAGATATATTGATGGACAAGGCACGATGAAGAAAGTTTAGATTCCGGTAATATATTCATCATATCATACCTTGTTCACATGAATCACCCATATGTTTATCTGAACATCTACATCTAGCTACTGACCAATCATCAACACATATACCACTATTATGACACTCTTTCACTGTACACAGTCCCTTGTATGAGCGTCTTGGACAAGTAGAGGTCACACTTTTAAAGTTTGCTGCTAGTTCAGTATCAAGAACATTCAGTCCGTTCACAGTAAAACTATGCATACAACCAATAAAATCATGAGATCTGATTTCTCCACTATAACTTAAAATATTCTCAATATTTCTGATTCCACCAATACTCAGTTGTATTCCATTCACAAAGTTCTTTCTGAAAAAAAAAAAATCAGAAATTGTAGCGCCACAAATATCAATACATGAATGAAACAATGATCGCATAATTCATGAATAAATAAGAATGAATGAATAAAAGGGTGCTTGTGTAGGATTAAATAATTAAAATAGGGACTATTATAGCCTTTATTGACCGACTGATACATGTCTGATTGAAAAATATTTGACTATTGATGCTTGACCATGTCACTTAGCAATTTGACAACTTAACTGTTGAGAAACCACTATTTGATATTAATTATTTGTAAATTTTTAAGAATAAAACATAAGGACATAACATCTGCTTAATTTGAAATAATTATCACTTTTAAACATAAAAATATATTCCAGTAAATCTGAGCAACATCTGTATTTTCTTGACAGGTGTCAATCGATATTACTTTCATAAAATCAGGAATTTCTTTCAACCAAGGAACATATTTTTAAAATCATTTCAGTAGTTATCAAGACTGTAAAACTATCAACTTTTGAAAGAATGTATTGATTCTGTAGGTTAATATCTTAAACCTGATTAAAAAATAGTCTGACCAATTAAAGCTTTTTGAAATGTTCAAATAGAGAATGTATGAGTAAATATTGTGCCCACAGAAATAGATCCTTGAAACTCATAAGTACACATTGCTTTGAAGTTTCATTTTTTAAATAACATATAAATGACATAAGGCCGACACCCATATCGATTTTATTGCAAAATGCAAAATGAAAAAATTTCAAATTTGAATATATTGTGATAATAGTAATTTAAGTATTGAAAAAGATGATGAATAAGAAAATGCAATGCCCCAAGCTATGAGTGTGAATATTTATAAAATGTGCAGACAATACAGCCAACACCCTCACATAACCTCCATTCAATCTGAATGAGACTCTGAGACTAAAATGTTTATCTTATATGACAGTTAAATGGATCGAAAACGACTCAGCAATTTTGGTTTTGGGTTACCTAAATGCATTTTTATTGTAACAAAGTTGTTGTGTAATGGAGCTGTCAATTTGAATTTTGTTACAAGAGATTTTAAAGACTAAATTATATGTTAGCACTTGCAATAATTATATACACTTAAGGCCATTATATCTATGTTTAAAATGGAAAGGTAATTCCATGCAGGTGGCAGTCTGGATCATAATGAAAAAAAAGCTTTTACTAATCATTGCCAGTAAGCTTTCCCCCAACAGCATGCAGTGATTACTTTTTCATAGGCATATATGAAATGCCATAATTTATATTTACTATTAATTTTTTTAATCACTGCCGAAATCTGAAATCCTGATGACCTTTAAAGAGTCATGTTTTTTTTTAAACCTATTTGACTTAATAAAAATACATAATATGTAAGGATTAGAGGACAAGATTTAGATAATCCAACTTGTCCCTATAATTATGGACATCCCCCAAACTTTTCCTCTTAGCTCTTCTGCACTTTGAGGACATAAAAAACCAAAACTATGCCAATAGATGTCTTATTGACTCAATAGGTGATGATTATATGGTATGTAATTAAAGACTAGTTGATATGATAATATGTAGTATAACATGTTTACACAATGCAATATAAGATCAGTACTTCAACCTTTAATTACAACAATTCATCCTTTAAACAAACATCTTGTATAATAATCCCTATATTTAATTTCACATTTAATATTTTTTTCTTAAATTGAGTTGACATTAAGACATTTTTAAGAAGTCTTGAAGCAGATTGCTCTAACAATGATGTTAAATTGTTGACAATGTTTATTTTAAGTGAAGAAATTTGCACCAATTGTCAACAAGAGTGTGATGTAAATTATACAGATCATATTTAAGATTTTGGATATAGTATTACCATACAAATTTTCATCAAATTCCATATTTCAAATCATTTATATCATTGATGTTTCTGGATTTTGAGAATTTAGAATTCAATTTAAAAATGTTTTGTTAGAAGTTATTAAAAATGACTACTTTGAATTTCTCAACACATCAAAGGTGTAATAAATCAAAAGGCATAGCACCTCTAGAATAAAAACATATTTTAAGAAAGAACTTTAAGTCTTATCCCAGCCAAATTGCCAGTTGCTAATAGAGATGCAAAATGAAAAAAAATAAAAGAAGTATTAAGTTATCAATCTGAGAATTAAAATCTCAAGTGTATTAATAGAGAATGTTTTCTTTTGTCAATTTCACCATGTTAAATGCAGAAAAAAACATGTGAGTGGCCTTGGTAAGTTAGTTGTTAAATCTTTCTAGACGTTCCAACATCACGAAATAATTCAACATGAATTTAAAACCTGATTATCATGTAAAACAAGAAGTAAAGGTACATGTGTTAAAGTGACAGTCTGGAACAAATATATCTGGTTGCATTTTCTATCATTTTTTGTTCAGGGCAACTCACTTTTATGAATATTATTAAATAAATTAAACAATATCAGCAATGTGAACTCTCTGAAAGGGTAGCCAGAAAGAAATGTGTTTAAATCACCACATAACCCTTTAAATTTTAGAAACTAGGCCAGTAGAATAATGAACATAAAACCTGAAACCCTGAAGTAGTTTAGACAAAAGATTACGGGGGCCAAAGAGTAAATAAAGTAGTCCCTCAAATACTTAATACACACTTTGTACATGTTGAGTTAAATTGAGTGGTGTGAAGTGGGCCTTACTTTTCATGTTGACAATCCAGTATACTAGTGGTTTAGTTGAACTAAATATCAATTTACAACTAAAGCCTGTACTGCACAATTCATCATCAGATTTTTAAAGAAGTATTTCTAAACTTAAGTATTAATAATTATCAAAGACATTGACAGCATCAATTTGCACTTATTCCAATTTTCAAGTCAAACGTGTGTTTTTTTGCAATTCCACTAAAACTATGTTAGACAATGTTAGAATCAGACTATGATGTGAACTGGTCATGAGTTAAAGGTCAACACAGTAATAATAGGCGGACATTACTAAATTAATCTTATTATTTGATCTATAAGGTTTGAATTAGCCCTTAATATATAGGTAAATAAAACAAGTAAACCTCAGAGAAACTAGGTGTAAACAAGGGCTGTCAATGATGGACAAAGGCTTGTAAGTTTGTTCTACACAAAAGTGTTTAGAGACAAGCAAGGGTACAATATATGGGAGTCCATATCCCAACTAATTCAGACAGTTTTGCGCCCTAATCTGTTGTAGCCATATTACAAAGTGCTATTATAAAACTTTGTGGTGGTGTAAAAATTTAATATAGAAAAGTATCTAAGCAACCTGTTTTGGTGGAAATAACCAAACTAGTTATACAGCATCAATTCTATGCTGTGCTATGTACAACAAGGTAAAGTAATCATAATGACAGTGATTGTGAAACATATCATGACAAAATAAAAATGTATCATAAATTTTAGATGAACATTTGATAGGAATGAATCAATGACACTTACCCAAAATTCAAAGGTTTAGAATCGTAACAAGAGGGATTCTGTCCTATACATTGATTACAGGTAGTAGAACCTTCATCACACAATACAACTTTCAATATGGCTATCTGAAAAATATAAAATATTTATTGAGATTTAACATCCTAAATCAAAAACTAATTTATAAGCTATATGATGTTATATGCAAAACCTTCCAAGAAATGAAAGTTCAATTTTTATATTTGAAATTTTCATAAAAAAATAAGGATATGTCCACATTTTCTACTTAAAACCCACAGAATAAGTAGATGGTCAAGGTCATATAAGTGTCTTCATTTAGTCATTTGTCCCTAATTTACTTCAAAATCATTTGACAGAGTGATTCAGCAACAAGATGAAACAAACTGTTGTTTTCTAACAACACAACACTGTTGATTCTGGACTTAAATATTTGGTAATTTAATGAATGGGTCAAATTGAAATTCAGGATAGATTTAACCCTGGCATTCAGCAAATGTTACAATAATCATCTGCTGAATACTAATTGCTCATTTTATATTCTGAGAATTTGATCACAGACACCTGTTAAATTGTATTTATTCTACGAAAACTTCAAGTTTGTCAGTTGAACTTGTTTCGTACTGCATTTGAATCACATTTATTTGATGAAATAATATTTAGCTAGCAATTGAAAAGATCTTTAAATATATATTGTGTATTTTTCTATGGTCTTGTTTAAATAATGATAACAGTATATTTGTATTCAGTAGTAATTTGTCAATTTATATACATGTAAGTAATGAGTCAATAAATAGAATCTTAGTTCACTCCTTTCAGGGAAGGGCATTCTAACATATATCCACATTGCATATTTCTTGCTACATCTACATTTGAGACTGTTGTCAGTTGTTCATCTTAACTCCTATGACTTTCATCCCATAAGTCAGCCAACTGACTCTCATCATTTGATAAATTGACTTTTACTCATGAGTTATTCAAATGTTAGTTTAATTCCTTAAACCTATATATGACACTGAGAGTCTGCTAAGAATGAAATTCCAATGATTCCCTAAAGAAGTTCCTCACAGTAAAAGTAAATAATAGCCACCTAAATATATCACCAGGCATTCTTATTCAAAATCAAAAACCCCAACACATAATCTCAAAAAAAAACTAAACCATGTTTATATAACATGCCTTAGTTCATGAATTTCCCTAATCCATATCAAAAAGATTGTTTTTTCACTATGCATATTAGAATGAAGTCATCTACTACATGTCAATCAAAATCATATTAAATATATCAGCATGTCTGTATTTACTATGATGTCACTACTAGGTTATCTATGAGATTTTTTATGCTTATCTGCCCCTTGTACATGCCGTTGTCCCAGAATTTGATGAGGTGTCTTAAGGTGAGACCTGGCTGAATTGATAAGCTTGATTGATAATAAAGACTATCCTATAGACTTATGATAAAATCAAATGATAAAACTCAGGACATGAGGTTATACCACATATTGGTATTTTCATAATATATCAAATCATTTCGAAGATTTCTTACACTTAACTTATAAGATTTGAATTGATTTTGAAAGCTACATAATAAAAGGAAGAAACTTACATCTGGACTGGTCTGAACATCCACTCTGAACCATTTACCACTAGTAACTTTGGTATTGACTTGCAGACGTGTTGGATTTTCTGATCCTAGCTTGATGGAAAATCGCATAAATCCATCCACTACTTCCATTGCTAAATATCCCACATCTGTTCCATCAACTGTTACTGGATTGAACAGGATCAATGCATTTTCTTTCACTGTGGCAAAATAAACATGCATGTCTACCGAGGAGTAGTCTTGGATGGCTTGGTACTCCAAATATGATCCTTCTTCGAATCCGACACTAGATTTCTCACATCTGGTTCCAAAATATCCAAAAACACAATCACAGCTGAATCCATTGTCTAGATCATTGCATGTACCACCATTTTGACAGGGTATACTGGCACAATAATAACTTGATTCACAGTATTGACCATGGAAACCAGACACACACTTGCATTTAAACGATCCATCCAGATTAATACATGTGGCACCATTCTTACAAGGGAAGTCATTACACTCATTCTTGTCAGTCTGGCAACTTGGCCCATTCCATCCTTCTGTACATCTACAAACTTCCTGACTACCACTAGTATCACAGGTTCCACCATTGTAGCAATAGGTGTCGCCACAGTGACCAACAGGAATCTCACAAGTTGGGCCACTGAATGAAGCAGGGCACTTGCATTTAATTTTGAATGAAGGTACAGCGGATGTCAGGATAAGGTTGTCTGAATTATGGATATCATAATCTTTGCCCAACAAAATGTCATATACACAGGAGCCACCATTTTTACACATGTCATCATGGCAGGTACTATAGGCTGTTTCTTTGATCACAAAACCAGTTGCTAGTTCAAGATTGTTGATATTGTTTTGAAGAAATGAAATTAGATCACTTCTGGAGAGATGGTCACCAGCAATGTCCTTGACAGCAAGGAATACCAAAATGTCTGATTCTAATTTTTGCAAGCTGAACAGAATGATGGTTTTTTGGTTACCTAGAAGACTTTTCAAACCGTTAGTAAATCGTGAGTATGAGTTTGACAAAAAATCTTCAATAGAAATGGATGATAATCGCAAAGCAACTGCATCCTCTAAAGTTGATCTTGAAAACTTTTCAACCTCTACTGTGACTTCATAATTGACATCACCATTAAACCCATCTGAACCAGAAACTGACAAGCGATGAGATTTTGTGTCCAAATTGTTGGAGGCTACCAAATCACACTTTTGAGGGATACTGAAGTCATTGATGCTTCCACTCTCAATCTGACATGAGTATGATCCAATAAGGTCATTGTCAAGTGGTCGGATATCTGCAATTTTACCACCAGAGGGAGAACTGTCCAAAACATTTAAAAGAACTTTTAAAGGTCTTTCAAGAGGTGGGCTGTCATTAGCATCCAATACAGTGACAGTGAAGGTCAGTGTGGATGTCATTTTTGGATTTCCATTGTCAGTAACTTTAACAGGGATGGTGTAATGATCCAATGTTTCTCTATCAATGGCTGACATTATTGTCACAATACCAGTGGGGAGGATATCAAACATACTGCTAAAAGGATTGGTTACTTCCTGATATTGGAAAGGACCTTGGTTTGGATTGATGTCAGGATCTGTAGTGTGTACTGAGAGGTCAACTACCTTAGAACCAAGGACATTGGTCTCAGTGAAATTGATGATCAGTTTATGAGGACTGAAGATAGGTTTATTGTCATTTACATCCTGAAGTTCTATCTTTACTGTAGCAGAACCTGAAAAAAAAACAATTCAATACTAATCTACACAATGAAAAATCAATTGTTCTGAAAAAGGTCCAATCTACCACATGCAGTTCCTAAATGTCGAGTTACAAATATGTCTTAATAAACATCATTATAAGAATTTGTTTTAGATAAATGCAAACTTTACAATGTTTTGACATACCCTAAATTGTTTACCCATAAAAGGAAGCATTTGCTTTAAGGGTAAAGCATGTACATCAATGAGCTTTAACTATTAAACCTCCTTAATGTACAACAATAGCAAAGATGTTTGTGATCTATAGCACTTACCCGTTTGTGGAGGTTTTCCTGAATCGATAGCACCAACTGTGATATTATAAACTGGAGTTGTCTCTCTGTCTAACACACCTTGACCAGTAGTTTTAATCATTCCTGACACACGGTCCATCCAGAACCACCCACCAATATTACCACTCAGTATTGCATAAGTAAATTGACGATTTTCAGCCTGGATGTCATAGTCAGTGGCACTGACCTTCAAAATATTGACATCAGCTTGTGAATTCTCTGGTACAAAAGCTGTGTAGAATTTCTGGTCAAAAACTGGAGGATCATTGGCATCTTCAATACCAACCAGCACTTTGCATTCATCTGTATCATTACCTCTTACACTTCCTCGGTTTTTAACCAAAACAACCAATTCAATTTGTGGATTGGATTCATAATCTGGTCTCCCATTGATAAAGATCACTCCAGTTAATGGATGAATGGCAAAACCTTTAACATTGCTTGATCCCATAAAATAGAAGTATGCAATTTTGTCTACTCCTTCATCTAAATCTGTTGCTTGGACATTTCCTAACATTGTATTAATGGGTGCTGACTCACTGACGTTAAATGCATATTGTTTCTTGACAAATTCAACTCTGTATTCATTCACACTGGTCACATAGATAAAGACTTGAATATCTGATGTCAAACTGGGAGGAATGTCCGAACCAGTTGGATTAAATGCTTGCACAGTTATTACATAGGTATTCTTACTTTCATAATCCACAGATCCTTTCAAAAGTATCATACCAGTATCTTTAACAATATCAAAAATAGCTGCATCAGGTGTGGTATCCATAATTTCATAATGAATAACATCATTTGGAGCTGTGTCAGCATCTTCTGCCACTACTTGCAAGATTTCTGTATCTGAAGGGGAATTTTCAGGCACATATCCTGTCAAAATGGTCGATGAGAAAACTGGTGAATTATCATTTTCGTCTTCAACATTTACAGTAAATGTTATTGATGATTGTTTAAAATGCAGTCCCATGTCCCGGGCTGTGATATCAAGGGAATAAACTTTCTTGGTTTCGTAATCAAGTTTTTTAACTGTGGTGATGGCACCTGTAGTCTTTCCAATAGTAAAATATTTTTCAGAATCTCCACCAGTTATCAAGTATTGAACCTGTCCATTTAGACCATCATCATCATCAGTAGCTCTAAGAGTCCCAACTATTTTATCAGCAAGATTCTCTATGATACTTGCTTCAAATGAGCTTCCAATGAATTCTGGTCTATAATTATTGACATCTGTGATCTGAAGATGTACCTCAGTTGATGCTTTCTTGACTGGATGACCCTTGTCCCTTGCCTCAACAAGCAACGAATAATGTCTATTCTTTTGACCACTCAAAGAAGCAGACACTATAACTTCTCCACTAAGTTTGTCAATCGTGAAATATGAGGTTCCATTTCCACCAATGATATCATACTCAACTTTGGCATTGATTCCAAAATCTTTTTCATCTACAGCAACAATTTTGATGATTATATCATTGATCAGAGAATTTTCAGGAACTGCAGAAGTGAAGCTATCTTCTTCAAACACTGGAGCATGGTTATTGGCATCCACAACATTGATGTTGATTTGGGCTTCAGAAGACATTGGTGGTGAACCAATATCGGTGACAACTACATCAAGCTGATATAGATTGGCAGTTGAAGGACCTTCCTCACTGTGGATAAATGTCATTGTCTTCAAAGCTGAGATGGTTCCAGTTTCAGCATCAACATCAAACAAGCTAGAGGGTCTTTTTAGCGAGTAAAAAAATTGATTGTTTGGACTTGAGATGTCAATATCTGAAGCAGATAGTCTACCAACTGGTGTATTTGGTGCCTGTAGCTCATGGAAATCAAAGTTCATTGTGTTTTTATAGATGATGGGTGCATTATCATTTACATCCAATATACGTAAGCTGACATAGGTTGTGACACTAAAAGATTCGTCTACTGCTCTGACTTGAAGGGAATAGGTATCTCTGTCTTCTGCATCAAGCTTGGTAATGGTTGATAAGTTGCCACTGAGGCGATCAATGGCAAACTTGTTGGTCTCACTCAAGAGTTCATAGCTAGCTATAGCATTAGAGTCCAAATCTTTATCTGTGGAAGTAATTTGGATGATGAAGCTATTGACAGAGATATCTTCGGGAACAGAGGTTCTGAACTGATGAGTGAACTTGGGTGGATTATCATTTTGATCTTGAACTGTAACTTTAACTGTTGCTGTGGATGTTTTCTTATCTGGAGAACCCTGAAATCATAACAAATATTGTAAGAATTGAAGATAGATACTAGAAAGGCAGGAAAACAAGCAAAAAAATGAATTTAACAAAGCATTTAACAGCAAGAATGGTATAAATTAAGTTGTTTGAGCTCATGGGTCCAATGACAAATAACTTTTAAAGTCTAAAAATCTTTGATGAAATAATATGTCACAAATTCAAAACTTACCATATCAGATGCTTCAACAACCAGATGAAACAAATCAATGCCTTCTCTATCAATAATATTGTTAGTAGTTATGACACCAGTATTGGAGTTGATACGGAAGGTGTTGTTCTTGTTACCACCAGTTAAACCAAACATCACATGACCATTATTACCAGAGTCCGCATCAGAAGCTTCAATTTGGATCAAAGTTGAAAACTTAGCAGTATTTTCTTCAATATTCTTGCTATAGAAGCTTTGTTTAAATCTGGGCATGTTATCATTAACATCTGTAATTCTTATTGGTAGTTGTTTGTAGGCAGAAACTGGAGGGTTTCCCCCATCATTAGCTTCAATCCACAAGTTCATTGAGTCAGTAATTTCATAATCCAGTGTTCCAGCTACTGTGATGGTACCATTGTTCATGTTAATAGTAAATCCATGACCAATATTTCCACCAGCAATGTGGTAGCTGATTTTTCCAGTTCTAGGAGCAGTTGCTCTAACTGTTGTGACAAAGAAACCAAGATTTGTGTTTTCCTTGAGCTCCAAGTTATTAGAAAATGGACTAAAGATTGGCTTTCTCGCATCATCAATTCTCTGGATCTTCACATAAACTGATACAACTTGGCTCTTGGTTGTCGCACCCTAAAATAAGAACAGTAAAAACATGAACATTGGTCCCAAAGCTGTCTTGAATGGATTTGGATTAGAAATATCATATCCCAAATGAGCCCATATTAACATCACTCTCTTTAATCAAGCTTCATACATATATACTGTAAAACAATAAATTTATGCAAAAACTGACCTGATCTGTAGCCCTGACACTGAAGATGAAGGTAATGGAATTCCCTGAAAGTCTCTGAGCAGCAGTCACAACTCCAGTATTAGTATTGATATTAAACATGTTGGCATCTTGACCTTCCAGTTTGTATGTGACCTTTCCATTGTTACCAATATCTCTATCTAGAGCAGTTACTCCCAATACAAATTCTCCTGAAAAAAGGTACAAAAACATTTGACTGGTGCATTTTGTGAAATTGTTTTTTTTACACAGCAGTTGACCTTTGATGGATATGTTATTCTTATGGCTGCAAAAACAAGGCAAGGTCATTGTCTGTTGGTGTTCAATGTTATCCAAAAAGTGGTGGACATACCTGTCTGAGTAGCATCCAGGATCATCTGAGTATAATTATGATGTTCAAATTGTGGTGCATTGTCATTATCATCATCTACATATATAATGACTTGGCTGGTTGCAGAGAGTGGTGGGATACCTTGATCAGTCGCAATGACCTTCAGGTAATACTGGTCCTCAACCTCTCGATCTAGTCTTTCTAGAGTCACAATCTCTCCAGTCTTTGGTAGTATACTGAATTTACCATCAGCGGTATCTTCTAGACTGTATCTGGAAATAATTAAAGATACAATGAGCCATACATCATTGTTCATAATCATTCAAAATCTAATCAAAGTCAATGGTTTTCAAAAATTGAATTCCTACATTATTTTGGTTTGGGTTCTATGTAGTGATAAAACATACAATTAAAAATATTCAAACTTGAGTCTGATGGTCAGATCACTTTATTTCATTCTCATAAAATGATTGATTTCTTCATCTTTTTAAAATTCCTTGAGTTAAATTTGAACCAATTTGTAAGTTTTTGTGTATTATTGCAATGTTAGGAGACATTCTATTTTAATCTGCACAACCTTATCAATATCAATTAAACACTTTACAGATAGATTTTAAAACTTCAATCAAATTTCAAATCAATAAAATCAATCAATCAATTGAATGTGATGTATAGAGTTGCAGGGTAATAACATGTATATAATGACAGTTGGTAATTGAGGATATGTAACCGACCTGCTATATCTATTGATTTTTAATTACATTGATAATATATAGTAGCAATATATATTTTATTACTCTTTCATTCCCTTGAAAGTCATTCAGAATGAAGTTAAAAAGTATTTTAAATACAATTGACAAGAGCTTCTTCTTCTTCTTCTTCTATAAATTTGTAGATAAAACACTTATTGGTTAATTTTTATTGTACTGATGAGTTTTCTAGGTTTCTTTGATACCAGAATTAAAGATAGCTTGCCAGGCAAGGTAACATACGCCCACTGGCAGCTGTCAGAAATGATTAAACAGTCTTTAGTGACTACAGGGTTGCACAATATAGCTAATAGAGTGAAACGTCAAGTCAGACACGATATTTCGGTGAAATATTATCCGATCATCGCGAAAATCAATAGGGATCATCTTCATAATGACATTGACATACAAAATAAAAATCAAAAGAATCTGTAAACAATTGTAGCCTGTAGAGTGAGCACGAGTTGCACAATATAGCTAATAGAGTAAAACGTCAGGTGAGACACGATATTTCAGTGAAAAATTATCCGATCATCATGAAAATCAATAGGGATCATCTTTATAATGACATTGACATACAAAATAAAAATCAAAAGAATCTGTAAACAATTGTAGCCTGTAGAGTGAGCACGAGTTGCACAATATAGCTAATAGAGTAAAACGTCAGGTGAGACACGATATTTCGGTGAAAAATTATCCGATCATCATGAAAATCGATAGATCATCACGAAAATCAATAGGGATCATCTTCATAATGACATTGACACACAAAATAAAAATCAAAAGAATCTGTAAAAAATTGTAGCCTGTAGAGTGAGCATGAGTTGCACAATATAGCTAATAGAGAAAAACGTCAAGTCAGACACGATATTTCGGTGAAAAATTATCCGATCATCACGAAAATCAATAGGGATCATCTTCATAACAACACTGACATACAAAATAAAAATCAAAAGAATCCATAAAGAACTGTAGCCTGTAGAGTGAGCACGAGCCAAATGTGAACGGACGGACCGACGGGGTGATTACAATATACGCCCATCTTACGTGTGGGCGTATAAAAAAAGCAACCCTGATGCATAAGCCCTCAACAATTCTGGCCATGATGATCTTTTAGGAAAACAATAAAGACAAAATCATAAATATGTTAATTATTGGTCTTCTCTCAGGCCAAAATAGCTTTGGCTTTATGTCGGGTCTGTGATCGTATGACTGCTTTTTGATGATTTTAGATTTTTAATTGAGCTTGATATTAAGAGACTGATAAGTTATTTTATCTGCTACAAGCATGAAATTCTACTTTGTTAAATCACTGTATTGGAATTTTATTAGTTGATATCTTTAAACATGGCCATAAAATGTCTGTTGCTGATAATTAAACATGCTTCAATTTCATTTTGAAACATTCGTTTAAGTATTAAATAAGAATACTATTTGTATGATGAGTTAAAGTCTATGTCATATTTTTATACTTTACTTTCAAAATTGCCTCTACAAGTAAGACTTCTTAATGTGATTTCTTTGTCAATTCAATTGCAAAAGTATAAAAATAACATTGTTAGAGGCAAAAATAAAATTGACTAAATGTTCCTTTAAATGTTAGCATCTCCAGATTATATCTTTAAATAGCATTAAATTCTGGTTTTGACAAGGAATTTATTAGAAATAAAGTCATTATAAATATGACTTGGCGTGAAATAGGCTCATTAACAAAATTCAACAAGTGCACACAGCAGAAAATATTCCAATGTCAGAAATTTCACAGACATGTTCTGATATGAATAGCAGCTTCTAAAAGCATGTAGCATGAAATAAGATCTCTAATTTGTAACTCAAGATTTGATATCTTAGACCTAAATTGCAACGAACTGCATCAATAATTGATTTATATGCATCAATTTCACTATCCTTATAATTATTTATAACCCACAATTAGCTAATTGAATTTCCAACTTGCAGGCAATTCTCAGTGCAGAATTTCTATAAATTTACAACACAGCAGGTTCAGTACCATGTGTGTTATAATTTTCACCAAATCATTGGAATGAATGAATTAGAGCTTTACATACTTTTTTTCTACACTTATTTGGTCAATACCATGAAGTATGCAAGAGAAAAATATCACTACAACAACTTGAATACTTTGTTATTACCGTCAATGGTGGAATCAACTTTAATGTGCACAGCTTGTAGCTGGTCTTTAATTCCAAATCAGTCCTCTTGCCTCAATGACAAGAGACACACTGAAAATCTAACATCAAGGAATGTCAAAATGACCCTCAGTTCTAGAAACATGCCAAGTTATCAGTGTCATCCATGATTTTATTTTAAATCTACTTACATAATCTCAGCATTATTTTCTTCATCAGCATCAGTAGCCTGTACTGTCAATACACTGGTTTCTGGTGGCATATTCTCTGTCACATGACCTGTATAAGGGCCATAACTCTCAAAGACTGGAGCATGATCATTAACATCTTTAACATAAACTGTCACTAACCCAGATCCAGTCAATCTTGGATGACCTGCAAGAAGAAAACATTTGGAAATAAGGCTTTGAGGCACTCAGATTTTCACATGATTCTACAATCTTACAAGTTGATGCATTACATTACACAACACATTCGGCTCTCAGTGACAGTCAGTGGTTAAGGCAAAAATTTGATGACTGGATACTCATAATGCTGTTATACTTTTAGTTTGTTTTGTTGTTTTGTTGGATTTGAACAAATACTAGTATTAAATGTGAGGAAGTTCATATTAGTGTAAATTTCAAATCTAAAAGAATTGGGAATGCTGAGTTGAAGAAACAAAATATTTATTAATAAACCAATTATTAATTTCAAAATTAATAAATTTTATAGATCTAACTGGCTGGCATCTGTCATGAGTCAAGAAACAACTTAAATCAAATTGACCATGTGAGCATTGAGACATGTTCATTAGTTAATATGCTAATGGTGCCAAAATGTCATTCCTGATAAGCTGACATGACACAAAATATGATTGAACCTGACTTCTGACATAATGTCAATTCAATGCCAGCCAAATATTAAAAATATTTTGACTATCTTAGAATTATTACTTCTCAAAGGCTGAAACCACATGATGAAAAGGAGAGTTTAGATCAAGATTAAGAGGCAGGAGGTCAAGATTTAAGGTCAAAGGTTAAGTAAGGTATATTGTAATTGAGATATCAGCCACATGTTACAGATGAGAAGCTGATGTGGTGCTTTGTCAGTGGTTATTTTGTTTAATTCTGGTCAATAAGATATATTTGACTCAAATATTTCTCATATTATCTTCAGGTACATTTCTCAAAACAATTAAAATAGAAAATAATAATTGCAACAGTCCAAATTTGCAAGAGCACAAAATTTGACTAAAAATGCCCAAGTAAAAAGCACTTGAAATGTACGGCTTAAGTGATATCAAGAGATTAATATTTTCAAATATCTCTCATCAGTTCCTAACCTGGACATCTTGTATCCCATAGAGACTTTACAATAGGTCATATCTATTTACATTCTCAGATCAATTTGAACCAACAGGACTAAAATGTCAGATGTAAAGTTTGGTTGTAATTTAAAGTCCATCAAAATAGATCGTCTTCTTTCTTTTATTCTAGTCTCAAGGGAATCAAGGCCCTGAGGTTGAAATGGAAATCAAAGATCACTGGGTAAAATTAAAGGTTAAGTTCAGTGGGTTGCTTACTGCTTGCTCAGAGCCCATTATCAGACAGTTAACCCTGTATCTCAACTGGTAATCCCTAACAGACATTGGCATCACAGCATAGATCTTGTCAATTGAAAAGACTAGTTTTAAAACACGCAGAAGTCTTTCAAAGACCTCACTACATTATCTCTCATCACCAGTCCAAAAGCAAAAACAGTAAGCGCACAGACTTTTTTTTATATAACAAAAATTTGAGATAGAAAACAGACCATACAAGACATTTGTACGGATGAAATGAATAAAAGGCAGTGTAAATAGAAATAAGATGGTGAATATTTAGTGTCAAGTGTCAGATCAACTATAAACATATGTCTTGATAGAAAAACATTAACATTCCAGAAAATCCTGGCATCAATAGCAGACTTTTTTAAATCAAGGGCATGCTTTCTCTTCAAGAACATCTATTGTCATTCTTAGATATTGAATATGACAGTAGACTAGCAAGCAACACTAAATACAGCTCAAGTATTTTCATATCATACTAGTAATTCAATATTTGGCAGGAAAAGGAATTTCACTTCTGCAATATTCGATTGGCATTCCAACAGAAGAGAAAACAATTTGAAAACAATTTGAAAACACAGTTGCAACATTATTAGATAACAGAATCCTGCAGTGGTAAGATAATCTGGTATAAATTGAGAAAAGGTGAGAATGAGCACAGATTGAAATGTCATCACTTTCATTACTGGTTTTCATCACCATTCTAAACACTTCGCTTAATTCATCTACTTTCTCTCTCTACCACACACTGGTTTTGATTCAAAATGCAGCAGCTTTGTGGAATTGCAAAAAGAGAGAATTAGAAAGAAAAGAACACATCAGCACTACCAATTCTAATCAAGTCCTTTATGAGAACACCCTTTGCCACAAAATCTCATCACAAATTTTCCCTTTAACTACAAACAGAAGATTGCTGGAAATTGAGCTGAAATTAAAATTCTCTGAGTCTAATTTCCATCTCGTATTTATTTTCATAGATCAGATCATCCTCTTTCAAAAACAAACACCAACATTTTGATTTCTCATTTAAAGAAATTGGAGTGTGAAGCCCTCCATATTGTGATCACATGTTAACAGGTTAAAACTTTGTCTAATCATTGCCAGAAACAAACTGCCTGAATCACAGAATTATTTGACATTTTAGACCATTTGTTAACTTTTTTTATTCTAACAGTGTGACATCAATATTATTCTCAAAGAAGTAAATAAGTAACTTAAATTTCAGTACATCTATATCTGATTTCTAACTTAAAAATTTATCAAATATTTTGAATTATTATAAATGTCACAACTTTGCCAGACTGCTGTAAAAATTATTAATGGTGGTTGCAGACAGAGCAAGACAAGGCTAATCCAATCATATTTATTGATCAAATGACAAAACAGTGTCGCTAAATTGTTAAAATTAAGAATAGAAGTGTTGCCAAATTATCAAACAATACTCAGAAAAGCAAAATAGTGACATGTTCCAATATGCTCACTGTCGCTAGTTTGACCTTTAACCCTAATGTGTCGACACTTCTGACACTTTCCTTTGATAAATATTAAATCCTTTGATGAAAATGTGGTACAATTTGGTCACTTCCATATTTTCCATGTTGTTTATAATTTGGTTTCCTCTCTAAATGAAAACATAATTTTTATCGCAAGCTGGAACATTTGGTTTTTCTGTTTTGACATTATGAGTCAACAGATTTCAAAATTTGTCTGATTTCAGATTATACCAAATACAAACAAACGCAGACTTCGTATTAATTAGAGAATAAATTTTGGTTTTATAACCAACACAGCTATCTTGTGCAACTAAATACTCAAATATCCTATTGTCTAGTTCAGTAAACTTAAACAATAATTTAAAGCAATAACCTTGAACTCTGTAAACCACATACCCCATTGCAAAAATCTCCACAAAGTCTTTGAATTTCAAGACACAACTTTCAGCATTCCACCAATAATTGTTAGACAGAAAAACATCTATCTAGTTATCTATTCAGATAATAGAATTATTATGTAATTTGTAAATAGAAATGCTATCAGTATTTTGGCAATTTAGTCTAAATACTTGCACAAAAATTTACACATTAAAAAACCTGGCACCAAGAAATATAAACAGAGATACTATCAGAAAGTTATTTTTATAGAAATTTTTATATTATGTAAGTTGCAATAGCACAGCACAGTCCATCAGTTTTTGTTGATCATACCAGAATAATAAATTGAAAGAAGAAGTAACGAAATAAGGGTTTCAAGCATAGTTCCAGTGGATACAAAATTGTGTTTGCTCTAAGTAAAGTAGCATTGCTTTTAACCAAATATACAACTCATCATAAAAGTTTCCTTTAAATGTATATTTTCTAAGACATTGTAGTGAAAGAGTTCCATTGACAAAATTTATCGTTACATAATTTAGTTTTTAAATAAATAAATTTTTATGTCATTTAAATATAATTTATTACTGTCAATGAAAAAAACCATTAAATTCAGCAATACTTCAGTTGCTTCATTGTATTCATCAAACTCGCTGGACATAATCAGCAAAATGGTGCATTCAGCTGGCATTGAAAGAGCATTTAATTTGTATTGACAATGCACCAAGTGCATGCTAACAAATTTAAATATGCATTCACCAGTGAATAAGTGGAACATTATTATGTGTATTGCTAAAGAATGGTTAATGTAAACAGATTATAGGGATACAGTGTTCTAATCAGTTGTAACAACAGACAAAGTCTAACTTGCACTCTACCCCTGTATCAATGTTTTAAATGTTAACCATATAAAGAAAAATCAATCAAGTTTTGAACATTAATCTCTTCGATAAATGTACGTCTGTTTTTAGGTTGCATAGAGGATAGCTGAAATTAATTTCTGGATCTTCTGAAGGTAGCTAATTAGAGCACTGGATTACTTTAACTACTTAATGATTGTAAATTGTAGGGTTAATATGATGTCATGAGATATGTCATGTCAATATGGTCTGTTAGCAAGCTAACAAATGAATGGATTAATGGATGAATAATTAAAAAATGAATGAATGAATAAAAGGAGAACTAATCAATAGAAAACTGGAATCAAAGTGAATAGAAACTATAGAGTAAACTAGTTTTTCCAGGACATCAAGAAGAACGTGTCGTGCCTACAATGCTGAATGCTGTTACAGGCATAGTTATTGATATCGGACATTGGATATAGGATATTATAATCTCTTCAATTGTTCCTGCAAAACTGGAACATCACAGATGACTTTATTTCGAATGGTGCAAATAGAATTAAAACATGTCTGTCATACATACATTAGAAAATTTCTTTGGAACTTTTAAATATTTATTGTTGAAAAGAATATTCACGGTAAACATTTTTTTCTGATTGAAAATTACATTTCATCTTTTAAGACAAAAACATATCTCCTAAATTTCTGATTTTTGTCCAGACAAGTATTTGATATTTCAATAAATGTCACTTAGTAGAAAATTGATAGTAGCTTTATTTTAAATGAGATTGTTCCATTAATAAACTATTCCCTTCAGACACTGGAATTGTGAAAATCCCATTAAACTGAATTCTCAAGATGCCTGGAATTTCAAAGAAATGATGTAATTTGGCGAAATGGCACCTCCAGGACGACAGAAATCTGTTAAACTAGCACCAAAATACAAAAGCGGCTGTAAAATTTCTGAACTTTTTAATTTGTCTGTAATGGATTTGACACAAGTAGCTTTAAAATAGTGTAGATTCCACACTGAGTTGAGAGTTCATATACAAATCAAAGAACAACAATTCAAAAGAA